TGGTATTGCAGTTACATAAGATAATTAATTTCAGCACATATTCTACTGTAGATAGGATTTTGGATTAGGCTGCGAATATATCTTGATGAGAACACGCATTATACGTGCTAGACCAACACTTTATTTTAGATTATTTTGATACAATATTCGATTGTAGAAGTTTTTTAATCTTACAGTTACTGTCAACTATTTTCCAATCATTAATTTGTGTCAAAAAAGTTTGTGAGATTCTTTTAGGTCAGGAATTGTTGTTTACACACACAATTTGGTTGATTCAGAATTCGAGAAAAGTAATTCGTTTACTATTGCACCTAATACATTTCACACTATTCATAATATTGGGGAATATACGTATTATCAATTCAAACTACGCGAGCAATGCACGTATTTCTTCCAAAGACGTCGAATAACAAAGAAGGCAGAAAAAGATATTGAAGACATTGAATTTCCGGCTCTAGCGGTGAGTTTTTTTCTTATTATTCGAAAATAACGGGAGAATATCGCGGGATTAATACGCTTTGATTTTCATCGTTTTTCTTTATATTTCAACTGTTTCATTTTCCAGGTATCATATAGTCTAATCATGAGGGTTAGTTCATTTAAATTATTTCCTCCTTTGTATTTCATCGCCTTTGTGTTTTTACTTTTATTATACTCATCAAGATCAAATGATAATTTTATTATATTTGACAAAGATAAGGAATAAAATCTTTGGTTGAATATTTTTTAACTATCCTTACAATTTTTTGGTTTTAGAAATGATTTTGCTCAATATGATTTTGAAATTTAACTAATTCAGCAATACCATGTAGTCTTTGATTAATAATTAGTAAATACCTTTCTTATGTGAGCATGTAAAAGAATCATTGCTATGGAAGAACAGTAGTAAAATCCAACTCGTGGGAGTTGGATTTTTTCTCAAATATTCTGGCATACTTTTAGCATCCTTGTGATTTCGAGATTTCCTCAGCGATGTATGATGAATCGATTCCTGGAGTAGTTTACGTGATGAGAAGCAAAACTGAAACGGCGCTAGTGACACCGAATACGATAATTTCCGATGCCTTTAAGCATGTTCAAAATGAAAAGTTCTTGAGTAATACCATCTACTCCACATCCTTTCCATATGTTCTTTACAAGTTAGTCTCAGCGATTTTTTTAAGTACTTTTCCGCCAACAAACTTTGTAACCCTTAATTATCGTTCATCCGGGAACTACATGTTGACCGCTTAGAGACTTTGTGTAACAGCACAAATCGATGGCTTCATTAATTGCTATTCGAAAACCACCTAACACGACTAGGTATTTAATCATAGATCTTTCGGTAATATTGAAATGCTTCATAATTTGCAGTGATTCCAAAGGAGCCTCAGTTTTAAGTGTCGAGAATCCTAGTGAGTAAGTTGGTTGATTTTAACTGCTTTATGTGACTTTAGCTTGTGAAATTCAATGTGACATAATCATGAGGTTCTATCATTTCCGAATCAAAGATAATTATTGGAAATGTATATTTCACTTATAAAAATTGTGTTATAAGTTTATTTGCATTATGTATACAAAAAGCGCAAAGGTATACTAAGTTCTTTGGTACAAAAGTTCTTTGGTTCTTTGGTAAATAAACTTATAGTTCTTTGGTACAAAAGTAGATATTTTAGTGTAAAAATAACCTTCGACATTAAATTCGATACTATTGGTATCTACACCGGGAAAATTCTATATCGAGAAGCGTAAGTATCGTTCATTTTGTTCTTTTTAACAAGCGTTATCTGGATAAAATAAATTAATGGGAATTTGATGACAATTTATATCATTTAACTCTCATTTTTACTCTTTTTTATCAATTTTTTTTAAACAAAAATTCTTTTTTTTTGTTTAACTTTCTTAGCGAGGCAAAGCGTATTTTGCATGCGGAGGTAGAAGCAATCGAGGAACGAAGTAATCATACGGTAGCTGCAACCAAAGCTGTGGTGAAACAAGATTTTGAAAGTAATGCACCATTCAAGTTTCTATAAAATACATTTTCAAATCTGTTAAGTGCCGTAAAAGTACGGCATCGTAAGGAAATACGAACGTGAAGGCGGGAAATAAGTTGCGCACGTACTATATCATGCCATGCTTGCTTGCTTGCTGTCATTACTTCTATGTCCGCTTTTCTTTCCCTCATTAGCAGCGACATAAATAACCATCAAAAATGTCAACCTTAATAGAATACCTTCCGAAATTCGATGATTGCAGAAGCCGCATTTGGAATAGAAAGTGAAATTATGGGAAGACCAGAATTCCACACCAGGAAGTGTAGACTTGTAAATGCGTAAGTATTTCATAAGATTTTTCTTTGCATACTTTCGTTTCGTATTCTTTAAGATTAATTAACGATAAAAGAGAAAGGTTGCGAAAGGAACGCATTGTTTATTTTGAAGTGATGTTCCCAGTGAATCCAATTAGATATATTAACCCCACTATCTGTAATTCATTATTATTCGTTGCTACCGAGGTGGTAGCTTTGCTAGGCGTAAATATATCCATTCCTTGCTAACAGTCACTGATTTAATTTAAATGTAATTTAACTATTTACAGACCTTTTTTTATGGCATTTATATTGAAAGTTTCTGTGTTGGATATGCTTCTTTTATTGATTTTGATCATTCTTATTATTTATCATCGAGCGCATATTATACCGGCACGACGTCGTTTCAAGATTAAAATGGGCATTCTGAGGCACCGCAAGAAGCGCAAATTACGTGATCGCGCACGTCGTCGTCTCCGAAGTATGTCTGATATTTGCTCACAAAATCCTCCAAGGATACAACGTACATTCTTGGCAACGCTGATGACACTTCCCAAACAGTCCCGTAATTTAGCAGATATCGAGAAAAGACAACTATTAAATTTCATTTCCAGAACTCAATCTGTTACGCCGTAGAAAAAGGATGAAAGAGCAGGAGATGGAAGCAAAGCGACAAGCACAGCTTATTGCTGCCGCAGTTGGACAGTTGGGCGGGATGCGACAGGCAAGTGCACCAGCTACAGGGAAAAAGAAATCTTCATCGACATCCAGTAGCGATCTGGTAACAGCTGGAGGTGAACGCAATGTTCAAACCAATTTACGCGCGAGTGCAGATGCTACTAATCATTCACCAGGAGAGACTTAATGCAGATGGTACTAATCATTCACCAGGAGAGAATTCAAACAACGTAAATGATTGTTTAAGTATAAAGGATTCGAAGTATTTTGTCACATGTTTGAACCAATACTATTTCTTATATTTCTTTGCCAATTTTTTTGCTTTACTTAATTTGACAATAAACTTGATTGCATTGAACGTTAGAAACTAAAAAATGATGTGCTGTCGTATGCTTCGCTTACTGTCGCGAGTGACTTAAACAGCTTACATACGTCATTACCTAGCCACCCACGCTAAATTCGACCTCTATCAGAATTCCTATTTTTCTTTCGAAATTTTCTCCAGTGGTTTGGTTGAATCAAAAAAATAGGTTTGTGCAAGATTAATTGTTCCTGTCGTGACAAAACGAAGAGAATAAGATGAGGACTACTGTTTTTATTAGTAATAAAGCAATTATGTTTTTGAAAGAATGACTTACTGAATACTGGTTTGTTATATATTCGAGGAGTATAGCAGTTATCCTTTATTGTTGTTCGAATACCAAATACAATAAAGATAGGTTGGAACTAATTCCGACTATCGTAGAATGAAGTCCAAATTAATAAAGTAGAATAACGGGAGAAATATGAAATAGCAATTTATAAAAGGAGAGGAAATAAAGATCGTGTTGAGTAGAGTTGAGTGGCGATGTAGAGAAAATTAACATTGGGTTCTGTTAGAATTTCTTAGGGTTTATATATGGGATGTGTGAAGAGGAACAATCATTGCATATTGACAGTATTCTCACAGGTGCAAAAGAAATTTACATATAAGAACAGTTTTCTTTACAAAAAATTGCATAGAAATTATTTTATCTGATGTACGACTTTCTCACTATTGTATACAAGACTTTGCATGGGATAAAGCCTTCACAAATTAATTAGCAGATTTGCACAAATCTTAACATCGGAAAAAGTATTTTTAGAAGATCTGAAGATTAGATGGCTGACTCATGACTTTAAGCATGAGAGAAAAAATGTAAATGCGATCTATTTGAATGAATAATACAGCTATTCTATAATACAGCTATTTCGGTTTTTGCGACAGTTATGTTTTACTACATACAGATGTGGAGATCAATCTAAAAATTTTTTCGGAATGCTCTAGTATGACACAGACCAATCTCAAGTCCTTCCAGTATTCTTTGCTGACATACTGACTGATCTCAGAGTTCTCCTGGTATGTTATATTAATATGCAGACAATCTAAGTTCTTGAATTTCTTGAAATCAAATGATAGCCCAAATCCATATAAATACAATATACAGTAAAACAAGCAGTATAGTAAGAAGTGGAAAAATATCTTCCTTAAATTGCTTCATTAAGTTCCGGGATGTCTATTTAGTCGGTCGATGACAATTAATGAGCAGTTCCATGAATGTCGAAATATATCAATTACTTCAGTGCATGAGAAAAAACAAATAAAAAAGCTTAAATTGGTTGTGAAAGCATGTAATTACTAATTTCTCAGTCTTCATCAAACTTCTTTCTACCTTCTAAGTGACCCGATGCAGAATCTGATCGACATCAGTGTTACAGCTGTCTCAGTTCAATAATAAACTTATTTTAAAATCTCTGTTTACGCATGCCACATACCGATTTATGACCCTCTCCGCGCTATCCCAACCTCTGATGTTCCAATTTGGATTAAGATTGAATTTTCTTCAATCATTCCGTATTTGCATATTTAAAACATCTGAATTTAAGTTTATATGAGAGTGGTATCGAATTTCTCAATCTGAAACTTGGGTAATTAAAACCTTTATTAATGAGTTGATTAATGCAGGAACGAATTCAACAATTATAATATCAATATGAACAAAAGGAGGACCAAAGACCGAATGACGCCCGTTATCGTTTTCTCAACCAACCTGTTAGAACACGTCTTTCGAAAATGATTTGGCGCTCAGGACTTTCTTCTTTTCATTGCTGCAATTTCGCATTATGACTTTCGGAGTTTTTTCGACATTCCCGACCGAAGAAGAATATTGCTCTTAGAAGTTGTAATACTGGTGTATATGTTTTTTAATTCTCGGTTTGAATTCAAAATTTCAGTGTTTGAATTTCGTTGAGTAGCATTCCTATTTTTTGAGGCTATAGGTTCTTCTTGCTGATCTGGGTTTTCCATTGGTTTTTTAAAAGCTGTCGGTTAAATTCTCGTACTTTCTTCAACAGTTATTTCCAATGGTACAGTACATTTGCTGGTCTACTGAGAAGTTTCCCGTTGGGCATCTCTACCAGTGCGCTTCTTGTCATTCCGTCTCTACCTTTCTGAGTTCTTTTATCTTTGCCAAGTTCCACAAGCCTCGAGGCATTTCTGGCTCATCTACTAATACAATTTCGTCCTCTCTTGGTTTACGATCCTCTGTGCCTTTAGGACTTAGTGTTCTTTTTGAGTTCTTTCCCTGAGGCTCGTTAAGTAGTTCCTTTTCCATGTTCCCCAAAATATATCGAGTACTTTAAGCGTTCCCAACCAGTATTTGATTATTCGTTCCCTTGTATGGAAGTTTCCTGGTTTGAATCCTGTCCTGTTCGTCATCAACTGTTAGGATAATTAAAGAGGCACTTGGATGTATAAAATCGATTGGGGGTATTATCTTATAGTCATCTGAGTTAACATAAGTCAACAGCCGAGTATTCAGTACATCTTCGATCTCCACGATCAACGTCATAAGTTCTCTTTTCCATAACAATTTTCTTCCAGTAGCTCTTCTCATAGCATTCTCGGTCAGTCCTACCAGTCGCTCGTAGAATCCGCGACTCTAAGGAGCTCTCGGTGTTATATTTTCCCAAACCATTCCTTTTTCTGCCAGGAATTTTTCACCTATTCTGATGTGTTCCTGCTCCTTCATGGCTTTGAAAACTACTTGGAATTGGCTTGCATTGCCGCTCAAAATTCGTTCCGGATAGCTACGTCGAGAGATGGATCTCCTTAGCACGTGTAGAAAACTTCCAGCCAACAAATTTTCTACAATCTCAAGATGAACTGCTATTGTTGTGAAACATATGAATAGGGCAAACCATCTTTTGATTACTCCAACTTCGGTTTTGATGGAGACCAAAACAATCCAATCCGATTTTCGCAAAAGTCCTGGAACGTAAAACTCGTGATTCAGGAAGATTCGGTATAGCTGATAGTTTAAATGGCTTAGCTGTCCGACGTTTCCAGCCCGTGCAGCCTGCTTTAACACGTTTCACTTCCACTTCTTTCGATATCCAAAATTTGCGCCTCATTTCCGAAAGAACATGCGCTACTCCGGCATGACATAGCTCTTCATGTTACTATCTATCAAAAGTACGGTAACCGCATTATGTCTCGGCAAGTAGATAAGATGTTTGCTTTCCTCGTCTAGCTCCGAATTTTCCAATCTATTCCGTGATCTCCATAGCTTTCTGTCATCGCAGTATAAATTCCATTTTTCCTTTTCTCCCTCGTTGAATCCTTCCATCTGCGCTTATCTAATTAGCACTTTTTGGCTAATTTAAAGTCCTCTGACGTTAGTCGTTTCACTTCTGCCGACATCGGTTGTATCCATGTTATCTTGCCCTTTGTCGTGAGTTTAATAAATTTGAGGGCCCAATGGTGGTTCTTACAAGTTTAGACCACTTGCTGAACCAACTTCCATCTATAAGCGAGAATTGTGTCACCTCAATTGTTTGAGAGGCGACCTTTGCAACGATTCGTTCTTCTTTGTCTTTAAATTCTTCTGTGGACTGGTATTTCCATTGGGACCATCCGCTTTCGGGACTCGTTAACCAGGACGGCCCTTCCTACCATAGCTTGTATTGCCTAAGCTTTACGGGAGAAATCCTTTAGTCGCAATATCGACTGGATTATCTTCACTTGGTACATATCGAAATGAGAAATTTACCCTTCGTATTTCTTCTACTCGGTTTTATATGAATTTGAGTAATAATTTCGATTGATTTTGCTGTCGCGAATTCCGATTCGCGAGACTCCAACCATACCCC